CCCTGATAGGGGATCAAACTCATGCTGCAGTGGTTGTAGCTAGCTTCCTAGGTTGCATGTTAACCCCTTGCACCATCAGGGAGGCCCTGAATTTTTTTTTCTTATATTACTTAACTGGTTAGAACTAGAGTGCAATGTCAAAGAAGTGTAGAGACAGACAACATCCTTGATTTGTTGCTAATTTTAAAGAGAATTAAAAAAAAGAAACTGTTCAGAATGCTGTTTGCTATAAGTTAATTTGTAGATATTCTATACCAGTTTTAAGAAGCTTGTTTTTATTCTTAACTTATAATGGAAATTTTAAAAAAAAATCAATAAACATTGAATTTTATTGAATGTTTTTCCTATTTCCTGAGACAATTGTGGGCTGTTTCTTCTTTAATCTTTTAACGAGGGAAATTCCAAATATAATATTTCATCAGCCACTTGCTAATATTTTATTTTAATTTTTGTGCCTATATTGGTAGGTGAGATTTGATCTGTTATTTTTTTTTCTTTTATTGGCCTTCCTAGGTTTTGGCATCAGGGTGTGTTATCCTCATAAAATGACCTGGAAATGCTCCCTGTTTTCATAGTCTCTGAAGGAATTTTTGTAATCTTGGAATAATCTGTTTATTAAATATTTGGTAGTACTTATGGGTATAATCTCCTAGTCCCCATGACTTTTTTTATGTGGGACTATTTGAAACTTTTAATCCATTTTCTTTAATTGTTATAAAACTTTATATTTTCTATTTTGTTTTTGATAATTTGAGGCATTTTTTTCTAAGCATTTCTTTATCTACATTGTCAAGTGCACTATAAAGTCCTTCACAGTAGTTTCTTATTACCTCTTTTTCTCTTTTCTCTTTGTTATTTATTTATATTCATAATATTTTTAATTTCACTACGAATCTTACCAAGTGTTTGATAATTATTTTAGTTTTTGGAAGTATTTACTATTGAATTGCTGATTGTTTTTATGATATATATTTCTAACTTTAGTAACTTTGCCTTTCTTGTTACTTCCTTTTACCATCCTTGGATTTATTAAGTTGTTTTTCTGTTTCTAGTTAATTATGTTGAAATAAACTTAGTTTATTAATTCTCAATCTTTATGATTATAAGCATTTCACTATACAAATTTTCCTACAAGTACCATTTTAGCTGCTTCTTACCAGCTTTGATATAGTATTTACAATATTGTTTATGCATTTTCTAATTTCCATTATGTTCTTCTTTTTGATACATGAGTTATTTAGAAGTGTGATTTCCAATTTTCAAATGGATTTTTTCTAGTTATTCATCTGTTAATGCTATCTAACTTAATTGTATTATGGCCATTAAACATGGTCTATGTAAGACAAATTATTTGAAATTTATTCAGATTTTGTTTAATGTTCCTTACTTACATGAGGGAAGATTGTTATTCTCCAACTGTTGCTACAGGGTTCCATTAGATCAAGCTTTTAAATCTTGTGTTCCTATCTTTTATAATCCTACTGACTTTTCTCTTGCTTTATTTGTTACTGCACAATGAAGAGTTTCAAAATCTTCCATTATAAAAGCAGATTTTTATCAGTTCTTGTGTTTCTATCTGTTCTTATTTATTTTGATGCAATATCATTATGTGCATACAAATTTAGAAATATTAAATCTTCCTACTGAACTGAACTTTTATCAGTAAGTGACTCTTATTATCACTAATATTACTTGTGCCTTAAATTTTATTTAATATACTAATAAAGTATTGTCAGTTTACTTTTGTTTAGTATCTGAATGATGTGTTTCCCCTCATCTTTATTCTATAATCTTTCTGTTAACTTCTATTTACTTTTTGTCTTATACACAGTATAGATATAAATTGTTTTTATTCTGGTAGCCTTTTTATTTTAACTGGAAAATTTAGTCACTTTATATTTATTGGGATTATTGGTAGAGTTGGACTTTATTCTATCATTTAATTTTGTACTTTCTGTTGGTCTTGCCCTTTTATTTTATTTATTTATTTATTTTTAAATATTTATTTATTTATTTATACAAGAACTGGGGTACAGGCCAGAGGTGTGGAGGGTGAGAGGATTCACCAGAGACAGAGCGGGGAGCAGAACAGGCAGACTGACTGAAATACACTGCTGAGGGGAGCAGCAGGTGCAACAGGAGAGGTCTGCCATGCCATGTGACGATGGAACCAGAGCTGCAGAGGTTGCGGTCAGCTTCACAGCGCTGCACTCAACCGCCTACGCCACCAGGGGAGGCCCCTTTCTTTTATTTTTTTTTCCCATTCTGGTCTACTTTTTTGCTTCCCTAAGCTTTACTCATTAATCCCTCAAGTAGTAATAGAAATATATATTCCATTTTTTTTCTTTTAGTGTTACATCAGGAGTTTTACTATGAATATTTAGCTGAATAAATAAAATACACATGCTTTCCACCAAAATGTTTCAAGGATTTTTAACTATAAATTACTTTAACTATAATTACCCTCCTTCTGAATAAAAGTTATTTTTTTCAGTATTTTTCTAACATCCCAAGTTAAATGTTATTATTATTTGTACAGCCACTGTTTATTTGAATTCAGCCACATTTTAATATTTTCCCTTTTCAATCTAGAAAATTCCAAGTAGTGTCACTCTGAATATTGTCTCCAGTCTATTATGAAAAATGTCAAGAGGGCAGGAAAAACTCAAGAAAACGATTGCAGTATCTACTGTAAGCTCCTCCATCTGGCATCTTATTCCCAGTGGCAGGGCAAGAACCTCCAGGATATCCACCCCAAAAGAATCTCAACCTTGGGTTAAGGGTTCAAGGACATGAGGTAGAGTCAGGCTGGTGGTCATACTGGGTGAAGTATAAGCTAAGTAATCAGAGAGAAAAGGAGATGAGAGACTGAGATTAGCTGAGAGAAAAACCAGTGTGAGTCCCTAATTTGCCGCTTTCTGTTCCTGTGAGGCTCTATTGTATGATGGTGCCAGGCCTTGATTGTTCAACTGGAGTTAGCTTGAATGGCTTTTGCAACCTAGAATCCAGACAATATTGTACTTTCTGCATACATAAGATGGGAGAATATTTGCTCAGGCAATTTCATAAAGTGCAAAGGTAAGAAACAAAAACACAAACAAACCATAAATAAGAAACATCTCATAGTTGCCAATAGAAAGCTATATCATAGGATATTGTGTTTGTGGGGAACAGCACACCCCTTTTTCAAAAGAAAAGACCTTACCTAGTTCTTATTACCCCTTTGAGAGAATATTCGCCACCTCCCCCCAACATCTGTTAGCTAAATTTCTCCTGTATATATCAGGTCTTCACATTTTGTGAAGCTGTAAGTAGATGAGATCTTGAAAGAGAGTGAATATTGAGTATTTTATAACGCATGGGCTGCTTTTTACTTACATGATCTCCTTATAACTTTAAAACAAGATTGAATTAAGTATGCCCATTTTACAAATGAGTAAATTGAGGCTCAGGGAATTGACTTGGAGCTGGAATTTTATCAAAATCCATACTATTTTAATTTTGCTGCTGTCCTAGATGTGAACAATGAGGACTCACATGGATGAGTTACCAGGGAATGCTCAGAGGTAAATGATATTGATGACTTAAATAAAACCATTCACAAAGCCTTAGGGGAACCAATCACCCTAGTCCTTAAGTCATTATGTGATCCTCATAGCTTAGCACTGAATTAAGTTGAAAGTTTGGACAAAAAGGATCAGACTTTTGCATTGATCTTAGTGAGGTCACTGAACAAAGTGCACGGGTGGCTTCTAGAACATTACCTTTTACACAGTAGGTACTTAATAAATAAGGAGGTGAAAACCAAAGGTACTGACAGGGACCAGATGGGCACCATATCTGAGTGAAGTAGGTGTGACTGTGTATGTGGATACACAGTCAGACATTGGCAGTAGTTGTACCCATCTGGAGACAGGAACTCATCTCAGTTATTGGGTGTGGACATCACACATCTCTAGCCAAGTATTGCCTTGTGGGACTAACCTTGCTTCATTTTCCAATTTTTCTAGGGTACAGAAAACTGGATTTTAGATTGATGTTTCCTGATTTTTCAAAAAGATTTATTTATGCATACAACAACTGGGGTGTAGACCAGAGGTGTGGGGTGGGGGTGAGAGGATTCACCAGAGACAGAGTGGGGAACAGAACAGGTGGATTTACTGAAATACACTGCTGAGGGGAGCAGTGGGCAAGTCAGGAGAGGTCTGCTGGGCCATGTGGGTTAGGTCCCTGGCTGGGGATCGAACTCATGCTGCAGTGGCTGGAAATAGCTTGATAACGCTGTATCTTTAACCCCTCCCCTATCCAGGAGGTCCCTGATTTTTTTCATGTTACCTGTCATTAGGGTCCAGTTCACAAATAAGCTTTAAACTTCTGACTTTCTTCTTCTTCCCAGCTCTTTGGGGGCATCAAAATGGTACCAGATGCCACATGAACCACAAACACGTAGGTGTCGAAGGAAAACCTCCCAGCAGGGGTTTATTGTCATGGTCTCGGACTGTGCAGAAGATGATGGTAGAGGACAGGTCTTTCTTAGTTATTTAATAATTTGGGGCTCACAGATGTAGACTAGGGAAGAGAATTGAGACAATGTACGTGTGTCCTATAATTATTTCTATAAGCATTGTATTTTGAAGACATGATTCTTGGAGGAGAAAGAAAATTTATGAATCCTTGGAACGTGGTAGGACTACCAAAGCACATGAAATCAGTTATGGAAGTTGTGAAGCTTAAGTCATGGTTCTCCTTGTGCCACGATGGTGTAAACATTGCAAATTTTTCATCAAGATGGAAGATAAACACAGCTTTCTCAGAAAGGTGTCTGATGATTCTTCAACACAGCCTCCCTCTTACATCTGGATCCCTCCCCCTTTCTCATCTCCTAAATTCAAGACAAGGGGGAGATTTCTAAATTCAAATGCAGGGACCAAGAAAGACAGGCCATGTGGCGTCACTGTCCTGGAGGGCGGCGGTTTCATTCACTTGAATATTCTCTACAGGACGAGTGCATCTCCCTGCCCCACTACGCTGGATTTCGTCATATCACCTGCTTTGGCCTATGGGACCTGAGTGAAGACATTGACTGTGTCTGAGCCAAACCTTTCAAGGTACGGTTTGTGTGAGCCTCTTGTTCTTACTTTGGCCTGACCATGGGTGTGTCCCACACAGGGGATGCTTCTTCTGTTTGGACCTCAGTATGAGAAGACCCACAGAGCAGGGCTGAGTGAAGCCACAGCAGTCCTGCTGCTGCTGACAGGCAGCAGGAACACAAGGTGAACGCGTGTGGCTTTAAGCCTTGAGATTGGGGCTGTTTGTTGCACTTCCAAGCTGACCCACATACCTGGCTTTGCTGCTTCTGGGACATGTGATATTCAGAAAGCTGTTTCATTTATTCAGTGCCTGCCTGGGGCAGGTCCTGTGTTAGACCTGGTGATCAGAGAGGAATAAGACGAGTTCCCAGCATGGGAGGTTCTCAGTGCGATGGGGGAGACAGTGACGTAGGGCTGTGTTAGGTGCCACCACCAGGGTCAGGGCAAAGAAGCTCTGGCTCAGTCAGTGAGATGAAAAAAAGAAGAAAAAAAGGGGGGGGGGCTTGTTTTGTTTTTTAGCCCTTTTTTTCCCTAAAGAAACAGCACAGGCCGAGGCTCAGTTGACATTTCAAATTGAGGGCTGCTCAAGGTGACCTCTGAGACCCTGCTCAAGTTGGTCGTCACCTTGAGGGTCACTAAGACTCAGACTCATGCCCCAGTCAGTAGTGGTCTCTGGCTTGTGGCCCCAGCTCTGTCTAGACACCCACTACTGTGAATGGCTTTGCTTTGGGACCTGACTGATGGGGAGAGAGGTGGCTCTCAGGACCAGCCCTGAACCATCAGGCGCCAGGCACAAGCCAAGAGGCTGGAAGGGACTGGGTGGCTGAATCCTCACCACTGTCCCAAAGAGGGCCTGCTTTGGAATCATTTACTTGCTTTTCCACATCCATCAGGCTAAATGCAGAAGTCCCTCATCTGAACCGAATGGATTGTCCAAGTTAATCCAGAGTCTGTCTGGGGCAGGTGAAGCATGGCAGAAAAGTGATGTGGAAGGTTTGCTGCCAGGAAATACATTGACTCCAAATAGGGAGAGATGAGAAAGAGACAGAATAACAGTCTAGCAGAGCAAGGGTCCTAAGTGATGCATCCTATCGGTAAGTTCCCAGCAGGGTCAAGATATTTCATCACAGCATTGATCAAACTTACTTATACCTTTTTCCTTTTCTTTCCTATTTTTCCTTTAGTATAACTAACTGCAAAGGAGCTCAGCTTTGTTAACGCAGACTAGTGTGTCTGAGACCTCTCTCCCTCGTTCTTGTCGAGTGGCAGGTAACCACACTGGCGCTTCCCTCCACCTGTGTCTCGAGGGCCAACAATGTGCCGGGCACCATGCTAGGCTCTGCGCAGGCAGCAATGATAGAACAAAGCTCTGCTCCACGGAACTTGCATTCTTCCAGGGTCTTTGATGTTCTCTTTTTAAGGCACACTGCCCGCTAAGCAGCACCCTGCAGTCCTATCCTTGCCCCGAGATTCTGGAATTTCTCTGTGCCAAGTTAGCTTCTGCGATGTCTTCTGAACTGGTCTTGACACAACCCTGTGAGGTAGATGTTGTCGATCCTACATTAGAGCAGGGACATCGACGCTCGCAGGTGAGGGGAAGGGCGGAGCAGAGGACACAAAAGACCTGTGGGACCACCGCTGCTCTGGGGTCTCGGGCCTCAGGCGTCTTCACTCATTGTCCAGCTCCTTCTGCTCTTGAGGCAGAGTCGACACAGGCCCCCCACTCACTTCAACAAGAGGACCCTCTGACACCCCGCCACGTGTGACATCGGGGGAAGCCTTGGGGACGGTATGCTACATGAAACAAGCCAGCGATGGAAGGACAGTCTGCACGGCCCTGCCTATCTGAGATTCTGAAACAGTCACACTCATGGAAGCAGAGAGCAGAATGTGGAGGAGTGGGAGTGACTGTGCAGAGAACTGGAGCAAGAGCGTTCAAAGCACATGAGTCTGAGGTTAGCGAGATATTCAAAGAGCAGAAAGGAGACCGCGTGCAAGGTCCATTGTGAGCAAGGTGTGTGCAATAGGATGGGGACGGAGAAGGGGGCAGGAGACAGATTTTTCCAGGTCTGGCTGCCACAGAAGCTCTCTGGTCTCATTTGTAAGAGAAATGGGAACTAAGAGAGGGATTTGAGCAGGGGCGGTTGAGGAAAAAAACGTGAGCCCATTTTATGCTTTAAAAACTATCATTCCTAGGCCTCCCCGGTGGCGCAGCGGGTTGAGCGCCTCGCTGTGGAGCTGTCCACAGCCTCTGCTGCATGGGTTGGATTCCAGCCAGCCAGGGAGATTCCCACATGGCGCGGCAGACCTCTCCTGTCTCGCCCGCTGCTCCCCTCAGCAGTGTCTTCGGCCCCTCTGCCTGTTCTGCTCCCCGCTCTGTCTCTGGTGAATCCTCTCGCCCTCCCGTGCCTCTGACCTGTACCCCAGCTCTTGTATAAATAAGTAAAATCTTTAAAAATAAAATAAAATAAAATAAAAACTATCATTCCAGCGGATAAATAGAGTGGCCTGTAGGGGGCAGGAAGAGCAAAAAGAGCACTTTGCAAACTACTGCAGGGATGAGGTTCAGGTGTGAGCTCTGGAAGCAGTGGTGGGGAAGGAGCAGGAGAAAAGATGGGTCAACCTTACAGGCGGGACTGAGCAGACGTGCTGCTGGACTGGATGTTTGGGGTAAGGGAGGACAAGGACTCCTTGGCTCTAGGTCTGAGGAATTGAGCAACACTTTAACAATGTGGCAGAACAGGGCCAAGAACAGATCTGGGCCCCATAGGGCGTGGAAAGCAAGAGCTGCCCATCAGACACCCGAGTGGAGACAGTCGCCTGTGACTACCTGGAGCTCAGGGCAGAGGCTTTGAGACCAGCGGGCATGTCCAGGAGAAGTGGTAGGTGTGGAAGTGGGTGGTGGTGTTAGAGATCTACTTTTCCATGGGCAAGGGAATTTAGTTAAGGATGGATGAAGTCAAGATGTCAGTTTCTTATTTTCACAGATGTTGCCTTTTATGGAAATGGTCGCCATCTCTCCAAGCCCTTAGAGAGCTGCTTCCCCCGGAGAAAGCAGAGATGCTGGTCAGGGGGGCAGGCTCTGGAGCCGCCCCTCTGTCTCGCGTATATCTCCTCATTATCAGGCTGTCTCTGGAATCCAGGAGCTGCCAAAGACGTACAGGCCACAAAGTGGGGGAAGGTGGAATTGGCTGGAGACTAATGCCACCGCTCCCGAGAGCTAATCCTTCTGCTACATTATCAGCCGCTTGTGTGTAGGAAAGGCATTCAATTTTATGGGCACATTATCCTCTGATGCATGTGGACGTGTCACCGTCAGGTTGAGGAAGCCGATGACCTAACCCTCAGGTCAGCAAGTGCAACCCTCAGGCCCGCTTTGGTCAGTGATGTTTAATTGGCACCCGGTTGCTCTTGTCATTTACATGTCCTCTGCGACTGAGTTCAAGCCGTAACAGCAGAGTTGAGTCATTGTGACCGACTATTTGGCTCCCAAAGCTGAAAAACATTTACTATATAGCTCTTTACAGAAAAAGGTGGCTGACTCGTGTTCCAACCAATAGGCCCTGGAGGTCACCTCCCTCCTCGCTGCTTGGTCACCCCTGTCCGAGGCCAGCTCTTGTCCTTCCAGCAGACCCCAGGCTATTGCCAAGGAAATACCCCCCATCAAGGTAACCCAAGACTAGCCGCATAGTCTCACAACCTTGAGTCTTGAGTTTGGGAAGCAGAAGGTCCTCCAGGATCAATACGGTCAGTCAAGTCATATCAGTGCTGCCCATCCACCCTCAGAGTGACCAGTGCTAGGCCAGGTCGTGGCTGGGACACGTTCTCATCTCCACTTGTCTCTGTGTATCTTCCTGCTTCTGTGCTTGCTGTCAACTGTGCAGTCTCTGCCTCGAGTTAACACCTCCAATAGAGTTGGGTTGGTCTTATGAGCTGACATTGTCTTTGGGTAGAGCTTTCTGGCTAGGTCAAGTCAGAGGTCATTGGCAAGTCTGGAGCTTGTCTGTCCCTTGTCTTAAGTGCACTTCTTTGGTGCATCTGCTGGGATCCTGGTGGGAATGGTCACAGAATAGCTGCATGACAATTTTTAACAGGGCTCCTTGTCATGGGGAGTTGGGCACACCTGTTGTGAGGCTGCATTTGCTCCGTATTTGATGAATATTGACTTGGTATCATTTCCTTCAGGTAGATTGAAACAGTCCTCCATGGTTCCCATACCCAGAGGTGGAGGCCTATCCCACAGGACATCTGCCAGCAGCTGGATGTCCACTCCCCAGTGACCACGTTTCTCACCAGGACCCAGAGTAAAGGTTGGTGAACATAGAGACGTCTTAAATCCAATCTGTTTGGAAGACAGTCTCTGCTTCCTTCTGTGCTTTTCCCCCGGGGTCATTGCTACCTTAAGTAGCTTCTCCATAAGCTCACAAGCTAGTCAGAGAGATGCGGCTGCCCTGCTCCCCAAATCTTCAGTAGGCATGAAAAATTCAGTCATTTGGCTTATTCAGACTTTCCAGATGTCTGATGTTGGGCAAGGGACGTAAGCTGCTGATGGATGGCATATTTTTCTTACCTTCCCCCACATGTTTGACATTGTGCACATGTCGGCATTTGAAAATGAAGATTGACTTGTTTTATTAATGAGAGAGAGATGCGATAACATTGGAGAGACTTTCAACAAGTCCCATATAGTCACATGTTCTAATACAACCACCATTTGCACTTTTGCTGGTTTCCTCCTATTTTGGCTCATCTTAGACACATATAAATATAAACGCAAGCATAATGCTTTTACCATTTGGAAATACTTTTTTTAATTTATTATTTCATCTTACTTGTTCTTCTGTTTCCACATCATCTTTGCAATTATTGATCTTAATGATTTCATAATTGTCCTTTTGAATGGATGTGTCACTTATGGAGCATAGTGATAGTGTTAGGATGACATGGTCCACAGCATTGGCTTTGAGAACTAGCAGCCAGCTGAAGATTGAGAGCAGAGTCCTAGAGTTAGCGGGATACCCTCAAAACCTACTTGCCATGTAACCTTAGGCAAGTTAGTAACTCAGCCTTAGTAACAGCCTCAGTTTCTAATCTATACGATGGAGCCAGTATTAATCACTCAGGGATGTTGTCAGGGTTAAATGGGATAATATTCCGTGCTGCATCAGTCAGCCTAGGTGATGTTGTGGTAACAAACAGCTCCAAAGTTTCAGTGGCTTAAAAAATAAAGGTCTGTTCCCGCCTCATATTTCACATGAAGGATGGTTACTTGGAGGTGGGAGGGTTTGCTGGTGGGGTGCTTCTGCTTGTTGCAGGCACTTAGGGACTCAGAATGACAACGACACCATGTGTAACCTGTAAACACTGTCTTGACAGAGTCACACGTCCCCACCCAGCGACACAGAGGACCAGAAGTCCAGCTACCTTGAATATGCAAAAGCAGTGGTAGACACATTTGATAATTTCTACAACATATGATTGTGGAATTATATGTTATCATGCTTGTTTCTACAACATAGAATTAAAATGGATTGACACATGTAAAATCCTTAGCACAGTGTCTCAGGAATATTTAGTAAGGATTGACACTATCATTATTGTTATTATTTTGTTGTTATTGTATTCTTTCAATGCTTTTTGCAATTATAGGTAGAGATTTGATGAACATCCTTATGCAGAAGTTTTTCACTTCTACTGAATTGCTCTCTAAGGATTAATCCTTGAAAGTTGCATTAAGCACCTGAGTGTTGGGGTGAGTGAGGTGTGGGGGCTGCTTGCCTGGGGCTGTACATTGAGAGCCCCTAATGAATGACTCTGCTGGCTGGCTGTGTTTCCCTCCCATGAAGGGCTTTGAAAGGGGAAATTGGGGCAGGCCTTTGGGAGGCAGGTGGATGGACAGACTCTCTGGCATCCTCGCCAGCCCTGAGAACTGGAGGACCCTTCCCTGAGACACTGTCACTGCAGCAGCCTGGTCCACAGCGTTGGCTTTTGGGACTAGCAGGCGGCTGAAGAGCTTAGGCCAGACTTGACTCAGCGAGCTTGTGCCTCCAGCTTTCTGTGAACCAGAGACATCAGTCTCCCTCTTTCC